CTTCACTTGCAGTTTGACGGTAAATCATCGCCGTTTTGCTGCAAAAGCACTGTACAATTACACTGCTACCGCCACTAAATCATTGGGCTTAAACGAAATAAATATACCCTTAAAAAGATTCACCTATTTGTCCTCAAAGTTTTTTGTTTTGAGGTAAGTAGGTTCATAGAAAACTAGAAATTTAACAAAGTTAAATAGAGTCGAGTTGTTGTTAAAAAAAAACTGTTAATTATTCAACTCAAATTGATTCTTAAAATGAATTTATTCTCTTTTTATATCTAAAATCTAAAAGTGTGCTCATATTATAAATAATTAATTTTTTTTTTTCGAAGCTTGTAGAATTATTCCTGAGTTATTCAAAACTTATATGTCATTTATATTTTTTATGAGCCCTAAAGAAAAACCGGTACGTCAGCTACCAATTTAGTTTTCGAGAGCATTCCCAGCTAGACTTCCGTTCATGTTTCTGCAGTCTTTGCCGTTTTCCGGTCCTGACTTTCTCCATTGCTGCGCTTTTTATAGCTTTTCCAGCTGCCGTTTCGGTCTCCGTTTTTGGCCACCTCCCACCACTTTTGGCCGCCTGCAGCTCCAGCTGAGCTTTGGTGATGAAGGGTGCAGCTTAAAAATGAATCATTTGACTTTTTCTTATTAAATAATTTATAAGAATTAGTTGAGATTTGCATTTTTCGCTCGCCAGCTCGTCCTTCGGTTCCGGTATCTTTTCGCCTGCAATCGCCCGCAGTAGTCGACTGTGCAAATTTCTATTTAATTCGAAATTTATTGCAGGCTATTTTATTTTTCAGCTTGCACTTTTTACAGCTGGCCTTAAAGTGGCTGACTGCTCGGTTGCCGGGTCGCCCGGCTGCTTGGTTGCCCGCCGGGCAATTGAATTGCAGTTTTGTATCTTGAGCAGGAGACCGCAGCCGAAAGTTGTCGAAAAATTTCAGCTGCCCATTTGCGGGTGTTTGTAGTTCAGGGTTAGCTCTCTTGGCCCGTTTTGCTTCATTAGCCATGCAGAGCGGAAATAACAATAATAAGAGCAAGAGCCAAAAACAAAATCCCTCTTAAATTGTATCCCAAATTGTTTTTCGCAGTCGCCGTGGGGCGAGAGGTGGAGTGGAGTGGCGAAAAACGAGAGAAATGCACGTTAATTTTCGCTTCCATTTGCATTTGCATTTCGGCTGACGAACTGTGGCCTTGTGGGCGGCCAGCTATATGTATTTGCAGTGGCAGGGGGCGTGGCCAGCTGTTTTGGGGGCATCATTTATATTTGATGTGCCCGCTATTGTTGCATCTTAGGGCAGCTTAAGTTGCCATTAATGCCAGAGTGTGCAGCTTGATCCACCCGTTCGGCATGGCACTACTCCTCCGGATGCTTTTAGTTTGTTAAGTGAGTTTTCCAGTGAGCTGGAGCGCAAGTTCTTAAATTATTGTAATACCAAGCGATGGCCAGCAGCAACCACTTTGTTGCTCTTCAAGTCTTCCAGTAATTAATTAACTTTGCTTGCTTAAGAAATTAAATACAAATAGCTTCGGTATTTGTTTGCCCAACTGGATTACACATCTCATTTTGCCTCAAATGATGGTTAAAATGCCCCTTTAACTTTGCACACATCCAACTTGTGATACTTAAACCAAGACGTTTTTGGCCCTGGCCTCAATTGTTTGCTCAAATGTGCATATGTAAGTCCATCGCCTGTCAAATGCCGAATTGCCCGGGCTGAAGTTTAATTGCTGTCTGGGCATAATTAATGTCAGTGTGGATTTTCCATATTTTAATGATTGAAAAATATTTGAGCTCACAACGAGCAGCATATAAATTAAGCCATTGACTTGCAGGCCGAGTGCATAATGTGGCCAGATTATTATCGAGTTCTTGGCAAAGCAATTTAAGCTAAATGAATTTTGTTTCATTTTGCGAAGGCAATAACTTCGAACGGGGGCAATACTTTGCGGTGAAATATACGACGTAAGGTGAATCGATTGTGCAATATTTGATAAATCTTTTGGACACACAGCAGCGGTCCTCCGCTTATCCCGCTTACCCCCACTTAGCCAAGCAGATATCCTGGCCAGGACCACTTGGCCCAACAAAGGCAACAAAACCAGGCCAGGACTTTCGAAAACTCGTAAGATCCCATGGCCCTTGGCTCAAAACGAACTGACCATATTGTTGCTGCGCTGGTGCTTATGGCTTGCTTTCTATTCATTTCATTTCAATATGCATTTTATTTGCTGAAAATGTTTAATCGATTTTATGCAAATCATTTCCATTTCTTTGCCGTGCTGTCCCATATTGTGTTGTGTTGTGTTCTGTTGTGCTGTGAGCTACTGCAAACACTCGAAAACCATTACAAAATAATAATAATAAAAATCTTGGCCTGCTCCTGGCCGCAAATAAATTATTTCTGATGGAATGGCCAGTAAAAAGGGAAAGCGAGCGGGAGGTCGGGCTGAATGCAAATGTATGCAAACAAAGAAAACTTCCTAATGGAATTTTCCACATGTCGGACATATGCATAAAACCTTCTAAACAAACCCGGTCGGTCCTCTGTCCTCCAGAGCTGTGGGCACTTTGCTGTGACCATTTTGTTTGAAAGCACTTCTCGCACACGCACGTCAAAAACTGTTTCCAAAAAATGCCTGGCGCACAAAAAAACAAAAATACCAGGAAAAAAACTTGGATAGGATTTGGTTCGGGCAAAAAGATGGCGTCAAGCTGTGCAATTTTGCCAGCGATTCGATTTGGTTTTAGCAATCCCTTTGGCCGGATCGCTTTGGATACTCGGCCATTTGCGGAGGTCAAGTGAGTGCTCCCTTGCAGTCACACATTTTGACCCCCTGACCCCTTGGTATGTGTAAGTAATTTTCGTCTCTGCTGCTGCCTCTGCTGTTGCGGGATATGCTGCATTGCGGTTTTGGTGCAACAAGCTAATGAGTTTGTGGTTGCAAGGACACCGAGCATAATTGCTTTTAATTGCAATCAGCAAATTATGCATACTTGTAGTTGTGGTTGGTTCGGGTAACGCTTTCAAAGCCCCAAAATTCCACAGCCCTATTTCGCAATATCGCCTATGGCGCAATCTTAAGTGATGGTTAAAACCCGACTCTTAACTTTTTTTATATTTCAAATGGAATTTTATAAAAAGGAAATCCTTTTTCTCTTCCTTTCCTTAAATGTTATATCCTGTGTGAATTCCTCACTTTATCTTCGAATTTAATAACCACATTCAATTCGATCCTATCGCGGTTGACTTTAATTGAAATTCCTTCAAATCAAATTAGCCAAAAGCAATTAGCTAATCAGGCTTTAAGTGCGGCCGCTTTTTGGATGGTTGAAACACTCAAATTGTGACGGCCAGCCAGCGGCAGAATCGGCCAACTTTTCGGCAACTTGAACAATTGAAACAATGGGCCCACCATAAAGTTTGCCGCCAAACAATTTGCCACCCATCCGCTGGCTGTTTTCCCCCATTCAATTCACCCTTCGAGCGCTTAGAGTTTGAGTAATGGAACTTCAAAAACGCAGCCGCCGCAAAACATGAAAACTAAAGCCGCTTTTGAGTGTGCGTGTGTGAAAACGTAGTGTAAGGGCAATTAAAGGGAACAAGCAAAACCACAATAGGATTATCAGTTTTATGCAACAGCCAATAAAGGACAATGAAAGATCAAAAGGGATTTTTGTCGTAGTTTATTCCAACCAATAACAGGTTTTGAAGAGTTAAAGCTGGTTTTAGGCAGCGTTTAAAAAAATGTTTAGGTCTAGTGGGACTAGGAAATACTGTATTTAGAAACTATACAAGTACATTTAAGAATTACGATATTTATACTCTGAATTGGTCTTTAAAGTTATAGTTTTAAATAAAAGAAAATTAAATTGGCACTGAATATATATAATTTCCATCCAATGACTTGGCATTCAAAGTGCTTCTTTCTTGGACTCATTAATCGTCTTTTGATTCTTTTCTGCTCACTTGTAATTGGCACCCATTCATCATATTCAGCGTCAATTATTGGGCCGCTGCAACTGCCAGAAATGCATCTATCTTCATTTGCATCAACGCATTACATCATCCACAGCTGCCCCTTAGGATGCAAAAAAAAAAAAAAGGAAAAAAGAAGGCGTGGCGGATCCAAAAAAGTCCTTAATAATCTGGAGCTTAATCTGCAGTAATTGATTTATCGCATTGCGCCTCAACTGCAGACAATTAAATTACGTGGGCCAAAAAACGATGAATTTTGTAGTTTTTATTTGGCCTTTTGTTTGTTTTGCGATCGCGGGCCAAATCAATTGCATTTGTGTTATTGTTTTAATGCTCCAGCTAAAAATTTATGAAGGCAGGATAATGGTAGAACAAAGGTAAACAAAGAGTTATTCAAACATTTGCAGTGAAATCCGGAAAAGCCTCAAACAAAACCAGTGAAAGGGCGGTTGAAAAAATACGTGAAATCGATTTTATTTTGTTTCCTGATTTCTGCATGTTAATTGTGTTATTTTTTGTGAAAATATTTTGATTATGCCTGTCGATTGGTTTGTTTTTCCGCCAGGTTTTTTGCAGCATTTGCGCTGGCTTTGGGTGTTGTTGTTTAAATAAAAATAGTTTCCCTCTTTTAACGGCTTGCTGATCCGACAGCCCAGGGGCACTGACATTTGCATGTGTGATTGTGTGATTGTAGTTTGTTTGCTCGCACTCGCAATTTGGTGTGTTGTGTATGACAAACATAAACACACACCTTCGCACGTCCGCGCAGCAGACAACTAAGTGCTTAGTTCATAAACGTTGACAATTAATTGAGCAAAATGCCAGCCATTCAACTAATTGGAAACGCTTAATGCGAAAGCGAATGCGAGTGCGTATGCGAATGCGAAACCAAAGCCCAAAGTGGGCCGAACCGACTAATGAAATTATTTGTGGCAATTATACGGCACCCTAGGGTGTGTTTTTGAGCCATCCAAAAACATGCACACACACAAACACACAAAAGCAAATACAACTCTCTATTGGCTTATTAATTTAATGCCTTCTTTTGCAGGGCTTCGTGGCAGCAGGACATCAGCTGTCCTGACTTCACGTACTCCAGGGAGGGAACAAATCGATAAGCTGCACGGATTATGTGCTCCATGAACTCGTTGAAGGCGTCCACGTCCAAGAAGCGCCAATGGGGGCACTCGTATCTGTGGTGATGTGGAACATCCCGACAGAAGATCCACTGACGTTCCCTCAAATGCTTTTGCATATGGAGTGGCTCGTATAGCGGGGACCTGGGCTCCAGAAAGTTGTTGGTTACGGAGAAGGAAAGGCCCATGTTGATCATCGACTTGATTTCCGGCAGGTCCAGCAGCTCCTGGAACTCCTTATCCGTTTGCTTGGATTTAAGTACGGTGGTGTACCAAGATGGCATCGCACCGAACTGAATGGCCTGCATTATCGAAACAGCAAACTCCTTTCGATCGCACCAATTGTAGAACAACCACCTCACGGCGCACATAAACATCTCCATCTCGGAGTTCACACACATATTTCTGTTACTGATCAGCTCTAATACGTGCTTTGGCTCCAATTCAAGATATTCCTTCGTGGCAACGGCGAAAAGAAAATAGTTGCCGATGCGTTCCAGCATCAGTTCTTGCAACACGGGCACATCCAAGGACAAGCACTCCAAATACAGCTTATACGCTTCCAATCCATTCAGCAACTTGGGATTGTTCAGGCGACTCCAGATGTGGTCCAATAGTTCCGGCATTTCCAGGTTTTTGGCGGTCAGATAGAGCTCAATAATGTGTTGACGCTGCGGTTGGGCCTTCGCATTGACCATCCACTCGTAGGCCAACTCGAAACCTTTCTGAGTGACATGATCGGTGCCCAGGCTCACTTCATATATGTCGGTCAACTTCTTAAAGTAACCCGTGCACGACTGCAACAGCGCCATGTGGCAGGGGAAAGCCTTATTTCCCACATGAACCAGCACATCGGTGCATATTTTGTTTTCCAACAAATGGGATAAGCCGTTGATCATGAATCCTTTTTTGCAGCCGAACTCGAACTCGATGTCATCCTTGTCAGCTGCGAAGCCCATTTCCTCTAAAGGGCATTCCGGTAGGGGTTCCCACGTTTTATTATCCTTTTTAGATAAGCTTCTGGCTATCATGGCTTTTGTTTTAGGGTCCCTAAGGAATAAGAACAGTAAAACCTTTTTGAATTCTTATAAGAACTTTTTCATTACTATTGTATTTAAAGTAGGTTTGCTTCATTTTCGTATGCATCAACAAAGACGTAAAGCCTAAAAGTTTCTTATGCACTTTTGATTACTTACATTACGCTTATTATTTTCTCTTCTTCAACTTCTGTGGCACTTGCCAGCTCCTCGAGGGAACTAATAGTTATCTCATCTGTACTCATTGCTGCGATTTGAATTTTGGATGTTGATATGAAGGTAAAGAAAATATGTGTGTGTTTACAAAAAGGCAAAGTGAAACTCATGGCGCACTGATGTTCGGCACTCGATTTGCGGCGCAGAAAGGATCATTTGCGGCTGTGAAAAGCCGCAAGAAGACCACACCTAAACTAAATTCTGGGATAGCTGGCTCGGATTTGGCTGCCTAATTCCTACCTGGGCAACTTAACGTTTGCGTTTTAAGTGGCTCCGGCTCAAGGGCTTAGCCTGAAGGCTTTTCGAGTGGGCCTGTTTATCTATGCCCACACAGTTTCAAGTGCTCTCGGTTGAGTTCCCCCTTCAACCTTTCACCTCGCCTCATATCGGAGCGTCCGCAAGTGCCAGTCATTACATGCAACGATTGTGAGCTGGCCAGGATTTTATGTGCCAACAACAAACAGACCTGGCCAGACTGACGGGAAGGGGCAGATAAGTTTCCAGCAAGTCGGGTGAACAGGAAAATTGAGCTTAAGTTGCAATTAAGCAATTGCCCAGTTGGCTCGGTTGATTCGCAATCCAGCTTCTAAAGCTGATGCTGATACCTGCTACCTGCTCCTCCTTTTGGCCCGGCTAATAGCAGCAAGCAACTCAAGTGGCTGCTAACTTGGCCTTCAATGGCGCAATAGACTAGCGGCGGGGCCAATCCCCAGCTGCAAATAATGCAAAATTGCAATGAAATGCGGCCAGCTGGACGAGGTGAACTCTGCCCGGGGAGCGTCGCTCGTTCTTTTCTATTTATGTGCAGTTGCTTTCCAATCACCAGCCAGCAAACTTAATACAATATTTAAGCCGCAAACGTAGCACAATGTAAACCAAAGTAATCTCGAACTCAGCTCCGGCTGTGCAGCTAGCAGCTCGGTTTGGTTTGGCTTTCTGCGGCAAGTGGCACAACTTGCGGCCGGCTGCGGCAAAATGGCTAAGACTCGAGAAGCGATGAGGGCCAAAAGCTGGTGGGAGAGCGGAAAAGAAATCGAGAAAAAACAATTCCGGCATTGAGGGAACTTCGCGTTTTTTAAGTGGAAAACTTTGGCCCTTGCATTTGGCCATGGGGCAAATGCTGGTTGCAATGAAGCTTAAAGTGGGCCGCAAATGCAGTTCAAATGTGTCCGGCGAACTCGTCTGGGAATCTCACTAGCTGACTGACTGACTGACCTACTGAGTTCAAAAAACAATATTAATTCAACAAGCATAAGTGATATTGAATAATACAAGTTCCTTGAGGCATAACTTTATTGTTGATTTGCCACTCGCCAACACACACGCATTTGAATGCTAATCAGCGCTTTATGCGCTTTATGATTTTTAGGTATATTTGCGTTGCTCATACGCAGCGTGGTCCGCATCACTAATCCCGGCACGCAGCATCAATAAGTCAAACACGTCAATGGGAAGCAGTGCGAGTCCTGGGAGCAAAAGTCACGGCAGTAAACCAACAACAACAAAACAGCAACCATTCGCTGAGGAGCAGGGACAAAGGCAACAATTTATTGTTGCTCAATGTCGCATTTATCATCACTTTATGCTACTTAATCGAGCCTTCGTCCCTCGGATCCTGTGAGCTCGATTTCCGCCATCGAAGATGATTTCAATGTTTACTCTCGTCTCTTCCCGGGCTTTGTTTGCTTATTGTTTTTCGACACACATCCGCGCACACAGCCAAGCACTTTGCAGCGTCTTTTTATGGTTTATGGCGCCATTGAATTTTTCGTTTGTTTTCTTATTAAATTATAATTTATATGTGTAGTCGCATCAGCCAGCGCCAAGGACAAGGCACTTTGTCAATTGTTTAATAGAAAACAAAGGAGATACGACTGCGAAATGGCTCCTGAGAACGAAACTTTTTCGGCGAGGACACTTTGTTTTGTTATTTATACATGCGCACGGCGTACTCAATTACGACTTGGAATGGCAAACAACTTTCGGGTTTTCGTGGGTGTGTAGCTCTGTTTGTTTGCAGGTCAGAACGTGATGAAAAGTGCGATAGTAATATATTAAAGATGGCAGATTTCGAATGGCTCGTGAATCACTTACGATGGTGAAGAGATATCACTGAAAAAAGGGGCAATAGTCTGGTTCTGCTTCTACGAATGTTATGGCCTTTAATGCACAGACAAAAGAGTCTCCAGAATAAAAATTTGTGAAATAATCTTTATTTGGTACTTTAAAATTTATTTAAAAAAAATTAGACCTTTAAGGGAAAAGTAGTTTTTCCTGTATAAAATTTACCACACTTCGAATGCCTTTTCTCTGGTGCGCAAAAATTTCTATAGTTGATAGTTACCTACATGAAGCCAATGATGCGGTGGGAAATATCAAAAAAGCATGCACAGCTAATCCACTTGAATAATGCAGTTGCAACAAATGGCCAATGCTCCCCGTATTGGCATCGGAAATATTTCCAAACCTATTTCAACTTCATTAAATACCTGTGTATAACAAATCCACACCAAACGGCTGCAAATGGCAAAAACAAAGGTGAGATGTCCATTCTGCAAAAGTATTCGCATAATTAATTGCATGGCGTAGTATGTATAGATTTTATTTTGGTTTTTGCATGTTACAAAGAGTTAAATAATAAAAAACTGCGCACATCGCATTCAAATTCATTAAATTTGCATATAACTTTTGAGCATATTTGAAACATTTTGTGCAGATGATTCGTTGGTTTGATAGCCAACATTTTTAATTGCGAATTAAACTGCCATTGCGCTTTAACTAATTTGCGCCCCGAAAATATCAGTAAACAATAATAAACAAACACAGCATCATCTGGCGGATTTTAAATTTCGTGGAACTTTAGCACATAATAACAAATAATTTTAAAACCCATCCGGCGCATAGCAACTCGATATTTTTTGAATTTGGCAGCTCGTCATTATTAAATATAATTGACACGATACAGAAAAAAAATTTAAAAAAAATAAACAAATCCTTTCACCGCTAACAAAATATATAATAATTTGAGCACAAATCTAGTCTATGTTTGTTACATTTATTATCAATATTTTGGCATACGCTCAAATTAAAAAATCATACTGGTAAAAAACACTTTTCTAACTGGTAAATATTTACCAAACCAATTCAATTACGCGCATGAAATTATTTGGCTTTTATAAATGTTTTAATTAACTGTCAAATGTAATAATTGCAGAATCTGTTTGGCCAAAAACATTTTGGCCCTGACAGCTGCTACCGGCGCGCGTAAACTTTAGTATTTTTATTTTAATTAAATTCGAGTCTGCGGCGTTGGTTAGCCCGCGAAAAAAGATAAGCCCCAAGCTGGCGCTGACATTAATCATTTTACCTTTCAAATGCATTCTCATTAGGCGGCCGCCAAATTGAAACTTTAGTCGATGCAAAAGGGAATCGGGACTGTGAGCTTCCCCCGGGGCTGCGGCTCATTAATAACCGACAAGACGGCATAATTCTTTGTCTTCGCCCGATATATATACATCCTTTTATTCTTGCCTTTACCTTTCCGTCGCTTCGGGGGTTTCCATGGAAAATAAAGATGCCCAACAATGACAGGCCCGACAGAAAGGAGCTGTATTAGAAGAGGAAGTTCGGAGTGCAGAGGTGCTAAGCCAGGCTAAATGTTGACCAACTAACAACTGACTTACATTGCGGCGCACCCGAACTTTTCCAATTAAATCTGGCGAAAGTTCGTTCACTCCTTGTGCTGCGACTAGGAAACAAGGAAAGTTCTAATGAGTTTATTAATCAGCGATAAATTTGGCCAGCATATGCCAGGAAACTAAGAAAGAACACCGCCCGCATAAGTTGTCATAATTTCTAATCAGAAAAGTGTGCGAAGAAGTGCACATTTCTATTTCGGAGGGACGACTAAATAAACATCTGTCTCAAGGCCAAAGACTATTTAGATGTCTCTAAGCCATCTGCCGAAATAAAGGGCTAACATCCCCGCCTAATTAATGTGAAAAGTGTCAATTAATCAATCAAGCCGCCGATCAATCCTATCGGCCGGCCCAATGAAATCCCAACACCAGTTAGGACTCAATCCAGCCGCATTTCCCTTCTCGACCGTGAGTGTATTGACAGGATAAACTCAACAAGCTGTCAGAGCCGGCCAAGGCAAATAAAATAGCTGGCGACAAAGGCTCAACGGGCGACGACTTCGCAAACATAAGCCCATCGGAAGTGGTCGTGGGTTGGGCCAGAAAAAATAAGAAAATTTCATCAAACGGCAGCGGAAAACGTTATCCAGAGAGCTCATTTAATCAACCGTTGCAACATTCCCACCGAATGAATGGAAATGGGTGTGGCGGGGTTTGGGCCAAAAAGGCAAATGCCAGCTAATTATTATGACAAATATCAAACATCCGGTCGGTTGAGGGCGCGACTAATGCTGTGTCAAAGGCTTAAATGCTTAACGAAATGAATTGAATACCAGTCAATTATTAGTGAGCAATTCCTAAAAAAAAAACAAAGCTTTAATTATGCAAAAAAGACTGCTATTGATATGACAGTTATTTTATACAAACATAAATAAATTTGCTCTAAGCCGCAAGGAAAAAAAAAAAAATTTAAAGAGAGAATCATAATTTAAATAATTAAAGTAATCTAAAAACCTCATATGTTTTTTTTATAATTATAATATTTGTTTTTTAATCACAAGAATTTGATTACAGCTTCACAAAATATTTTAAGCTTCAGTTTCTTCTCTTGAAGAATCTCGTTGAGCAGACCTGGTATAGTTACGTTCCGGCTTTTCTGTGGTGGTGTTGGCCATGAATATCTTGACCAAGCACATAGATCCCAGCAGCATATAGTTAACAACATGGGTCAACAGAAGCTTATCCAGACACTTGCGTATTTTTTTCCAAGATTTCCGGTTTTGTACAAAGAAGTACATATACAAACCCATGGCGTCGCTGATGAGGAATACGCAAATCAAAATCGATCTGTTGTTCTTTCGCACAAATGGAACCAGTGCATACAGGGCCGAGATGAAGATGAGCGATGGAAGTAGAATCTTCAAAATAAGCAGGCTTCCAGATACATAGAGAGAAAAGTGTGGGTAAAATAGTCGCGCTAAGGTTGGAATGAACAGAAAACTGGATAGCCAATGTCCAGCCAGGAAAAAGGCCACATAGAAATAAAGAAGTATCATGAATGCATATCGATAGAGCTTCTTCAGTTTCTTCAGTGGTTTGTGTTCCTCCTCCACTTCTTCTATTTTGTTGAATTTTCTGGAGCCTTCATAAACTTGGAGGCCCAAAACCAATTCTGTTATTATTACTTGAACATTCAGAGAAGCCCATGAGCTGGTGAGCAGACTAATAATGGTAACCATGTTTATAGTTATTAGTTCAAATCTTCTTCTGCCGGTTGGTGTGGATTGAGCGAAGTATCGGATTGAAAGGAAAGCAAAGATCAGAAACGACCAAGTTATGACATAGACATAAACTGAGACTCTTTCCTTATCTTCGTATTGATAAATTCCATAGGCTCCGGCTATAAGAGTCAACGCGTTAATGGCCCAAACACGAGGATCATGTCGATGTCCCAAGATCAAAGGGCGAATAATCGCCATCAGCATGCTGATATAAAGAACATGGGAACTTTTTATGGGAATTGTTTTGAGTCGGTTTCTAGTATATTGCTGTACGAACATCAGTCCACTTAATAACATAACTGTTGTCAGCCAGACAAATAACTTCACGTTAGGTTTAACAAAACCCCTTCGATTGATGAGGAGTACGGAAATTAAGTACAGAACACAAGTATGGTGATAGAAAAAGGCCATCAATATTAACAGACCAGCGGGCACCAGAATGCAGACCAAGTTCCAAATTGGTTTCATAATCAAGAAGCTTTTTACAGGTCGTTCGGCTTGAGCCATTATTAGCATTCCAATTGGTAACAGCAACATTTTGCAGAGTTAGCAAAACGAGAAGCAATATACTCAAAAGGACCAATACTAGGGTTGATACAGTCTGAAATCCCCTTCTCTGCCCTTTTTCCCTCTTGCACAATCGAGTGAGCTGCAGAAGAAGGCAATAGAACCAAATCAAGTAGGATGCAGTGGTGGCCACCATCAAGGGGAGTTGGTAATACTGGTGGTAGTAGGCCAAGCACAGTTGAGCCAATTTTCCGAAGTTCTGACAAGTTTCCATGGCCACTTTCGTATTTCCTTGTGATAATAGAGACTTAATGTTTTTTGAATATTGATCAATCTGTCCCAAGTTAAGTTCCTCAAATTTCGGCAACCATTTATAAAATACTGCATTTTCGTGTCGTTGGATAAGAATTTTTGCCTGGTCCAAAAGTTGCAAGACGTTCAGATGCAGAGCCATTACTTCGTACTCCCTGCTCACATTAAGGTAACCCACTGGCATCAGGGCTAAGTTGTTCATGGGTGGTGGAAGACCAATTAGAGCAGACATAAGTGGTGCTAGCTGAATCTGATCCACCTCGGAAATGTTGGCGTTAGTAAGAAAGGTGGATTCAGGATCGACTCCTTCCCGACTCACTCCAGCTCCCCACATAAATAAGGGAGTCTCGACTTCAAGGGAGCTTCCACCTCCATGGATTCCTGTTAATTATTTATTAAATTATGCTTACACACTTATTACTAAACATATTATTCTATTATAGTACACCTTACCATTGTCATTCATGCCATGATCGGAAGTCATCAAATAAGCAGTTCTGCTGTCATTAAAAACCCGCTCAAAAAGCTCATATGTTCTTCGAATGCCCCTCTGTGTGTGCTGCAGCTTTTTGTGGAACCTTTTGCTAAGAGGTCTGTAACGGTGGGCAGCTATATCCATATCGGCCAAATAGACGAAGAACACCACCGACTTCTGGCTTTTTAAATCCCGAGCATTGTCGGCATTCTTTAAAAACTTTTCAACCTTTTCGAAAGCCCACTTATCACAGGTGAGTTTTTCCGGCAATTGTGCCTCCAAGTACCATTCGAATCGAAGTGGAGCTCCGCCGTGCGGAAGGCCTACAAAATAGCTTTTTACATTCCTATGAAGCCAGCCTATCGTGTTTCTGCTGCGATTGAAGACGGTGTCGAAATTGCTGGGATTGTAGCGAAAGTTGACCAACGCAGCCGCAGGATCCTCATTGAAGCCACCGAATATGGCGATGTGTCCAGGTCGCGTCATTGTGGGAGCACAAGTGCGGGATATTCCAATTCGTCCTTGCTTCCGGAATATATCCCTCAGATCCGGAATATCACTGCCATTATTGGCAAAAAAGGTAGCAGCTCGCAAGCCGTCGGTTAGAAACACAACCAATCGATCTGCTGGGGGCTCCAGAGCCAACTCGCGCATCGTCTTCTGTGGCACGAGATTTGGCAACAAAGTTGGTTGGAAATATGTGGTCAATATGGAGCCTGTCAACAAGATGTGCACTACCAACGATTGAATTTTCCACATTTTTCCACGGGAAAACCTAAAACACAGTGCGAATTAGGGAAGAATATAATATAATAAAATTTTATTTGTAGTGTGACGTTTTTTGAAAAAACTACTGCAACTGAATACTTTTAAATTCAGATCTTGAATTGTAGCTTTATTTCGAGAATAAATTAACATTTTTCTTGCAAATATTTTTGGAATAAAATTTCTTAGTTCAACACTTTAATAAAGTACATTTCCGAATGCCAAATGGAATTTTATCCTAGAATTGAAATAACAAAATTGTTGTCGTCGTCTTTCTGCGCTTTGCTATCTGTTATTTTATGGATGCCATAACTATGCGGCCTTGTCAAGCAATTTTAATTTTAATCACGAAAATTTATTACAGCTTCACAGAACATTTCAAGCCTGAGTTTCTCCTCTTGAAGAATCTCGTTGAGCAGACCTTTCTTCGTTATGTTTTGGTTTTTCCACACTGGAATTGGCCATGAATATTTTGACTAAGCACATACATCCCAGCAGCATATAGTTAACAACATGGGTCAGCAGGACCTGATCCAGACACTTGCGTAGTCTCTTCCAAGATTTCCAATTTTGTACAAAGAAGTACATATACAAACCCATGGCGTCGCTGATGAGGAATACGCAAATCAAAATCGATCTGTTGTTCTTTCGCACAAATGGAACCATTACATAAAGGGCCGAGATGAAAATAAGTGATGGAAGTAGAATCTTCAAAATGAGCAGACTGCCAGATAAAAAGAAAGAAAAATGTGGGTTAAATAGTCGCGCTATTGTTGCAATGAATATAAAACTGTATAGCCAATGTCCAGCCAGGAAAAAGGCCACATAGAAATAAAGAAGTATCATGAATGCATATCGATAGAGCTTCTTCAATTTTTTGAGTGGCTTGTGTTCCTCCTCCACTTCTTCTATTTTGTTGAATTTTCTGGAATCTTCATAAACTTGAAGGCCCAAAACCAATTCTGTTATTATTACTTGAACATTCAGAGAAGACCATGAGCTGGCGAGCAGACAAATAATGGTAACCATATTCATAGTTATTAGTTCAAATCTCCTTCTTCCGGTCGGTGTGGACTGAGCGAAGTATCGGATTGAAAGAAAAGCAAAGATCAGAAACGTCCAAGTTGTGACATAGACATAAACCGAGACTGTTTCCCTCTCTTCCCATTGATAAACTCCATATGCTCCGGTTATCAGAGCCAACGTGTTAATGGCCCAAACACGAAGATCATGTCGATGTCCCAAGATCAAAGGGCGAATAATCGCCATCAGCATGCTGATATAAAGAACATGGGAACTTTTAAAGGGGGAAAAAATTGTTCTAAGTCCGATTCTAGTATATTGTTGTACGAACAGCAACCCACTTACTAATATAACTGTTGTCAGCCAGACAAACAATTTTATGGAGAGTTTTAGGAAAGCCCTTCGATTTATGAGCAGTACGGAAATCAAGTACAGAACACCAAAATGGAGATAGAAAATGGCCATCGATATCAACAGACCAGCGGGCACCAGAATGCAGACCAAGTTCCAAATTGGTTTCATAATCAAGAAGCTTTTTACAGGTCGTTCGGCTTGAGCCATTATTAGCATTCCAATTGGTAACAGCAAGTAAAAGGCCGTGATATGCGGTACATTTTGCAGAGTTAGCAAAACGAGAAGCAATATACTCAAAAGAACCAATATTAGGGTTGATACAGTCTGAAATCCCCTTCTCTGCCCTTTTTCCCTCTTGCACAATCGAGTGAGCTGCAGAAGAAGGCAGTAGAACCAAATCAAGTAGGATGCAGTGGTGGCCACCATCAAGGGGAGTTGGTAATACTGGTGGTAGTAGGCCAAGCACAGTTGAGCCGATTTTCCGAAGTTCTGACAAGTTTCCATGGCCTCTTTCGTATTTCCTTGTGATAATAGAGACTTAATGTTTTTTGAATATTGATCAATCTGTCCCAAGTTAAGTTCCTCAAATTTCGGTAGCCATTTATGGAATACTGAATTTTTGTGTCGTCGGATAAGAATTATTGCCTGGTCCAAAAGTTGCAAGACGTTCAGATGCAGAGCCATTACTTCGTACTCCCTGCTCACATTGAGGTAACCCACTGGCATCAGGGCTAAGTTGTTCATTGGGGGTGGAAGACCAATTAGAGCCGACATAAGTGGTGCTAGCTGAATCTGATCCACCTCGGAAATGTTGGCGTTAGTAAGAAAGGTGGATTCAGGATCGACTCCTTCCCGACTCACTCCAGCTCCCCACATAAATAAGGGAGTCTCGACTTCATGGGAGCTTCCACCTCCATGGATTCCTGTAAATAATGTCCTTGATTTATTAAACTATGTTTGTTTATACACTTATTACTATCAATATTATTCTATTACAGTATCGCTTACCACTGTCAGTCATGCCATGATCGGAAGTCATCAAATAAGCAGTTCTGCTGTCATTAAAGACCCGCTCAAAAAGCTCATATGTTCTTCGAATGCCCCTCTGTGTGTGCTGCAGCTTTTTGTGGAACCTTTTGCTAAGAGGTCTGTAACGATGGGCAGCTATATCCATATCGGCCAAATAGACGAAGAACACCACCGACTTCTGGCTTTTTAAATCCCGAGCATTGTCGGCATTCTTTAAAAACTTTTCAACCTTTTCGAGAGCCCACTTATCACAGGTGAGTTTTTCCGGCAATTGTGCCTCCAAGTACCATTCGAATCGAAGTGGAGCTCCGCCGTGCGGAAGGCCTACAAAATAGCTTTTTACATTCCTATGAAGCCAGCCTATCGTGTTTCTGCTGCGATTGAAGACGGTGTCGAAATTGCTGGGATTGTAGCGAAAGTTGACCAACGCAGCCGCAGGATCCTCATTGAAGCCACCGAATATGGCGATGTGTCCAGGTCGCGTCATTGTGGGAGCACAAGTGCGGGATATTCCAATTCGTCCTTGCTTCCGGAATATATCCCTCAGATCCGGAATATCACTGCCATTATTGGCAAAAAAGGTAGCAGCTCGCAAGCCGTCGGTCAGAAACACAACCAATCGATCTGCTGGGGGCTCCAGACCCAACTCGCGCATCGTCTTCTGTGGCACGAGATTTGGCAACAGAGTTGGTTGGAAATATGTGGTCAATATGGAACCTGTCAACAAGATGTGCACTACCAACGATTGAATTTTCCACATTTTTCCACGGGAAAACCTAAAACACAATACGAATTGGGGAAGAATATAATAAAACAATAATAAAATAATTTAATTGTATATCTAGTGTGACGTTTTTCGAAAAACTACTGCAACTAAGTATTGAGTAAATTCCAGTATTGAATTTTAGCTTTATTTCGAGAATAAATTAACATTTATCTTGCAATAATTTTTAGAATAAAATTTCTTAGTTCAAGACTTCAATAAAGTGTATTTCCGAATGCCAAATGGAATTCCATCCTAGAATTGTAGCCGTTAAACGAACAAAATTGTTGTCGTCGCCTCATCATCATCCGGTTGTCTTTCTGCGCCTTGCTATCTGTTAGGACTCATTTTATGGATGCCATAACTCTGCGGCCTTGTCAAGCAATTTCAATTTGCCGCTTGATTTGTGAGCTGGCGCCTGGACGTTCTGCCTTGGGCGCCAAATGCTGCACGTTGCTGCCTTGATTTACGCGCCTGCAATTTAAATGAGCTGCAAATTGCAGCAATGCTCGACCTCCGCGGATCCGGCCAATTTAAGTCTTTAAGGCTTTTGTCAATCTGCGACACGGCGCAAATTAATTGCCCCACATAAATCGTGTCGTTCGTTTTTTGTTCGTCAGCCCCTTTTGGCGCTTGACTAATTCGAGCAGCTAGCAGACGATTCAGGTGCTCCAGAGAAATTCTTTTAATGCTCAGACACATAATCGCGCATTTGGCTTAAATGCTAGTTAGACCGAACGAGTTAAGACACAGTCATTTTTCAGGCCAATTCGAGTTGTCCTGTGACTGTTGTAGCCAGTTAACAAATCGCTGGCCGGATGACTGAATGGCCGGCTAACAGGTTCGTCTGGCAATTAAAGGCCTCTTTTGCGTCTGGCAATGGGCTAATTTAACAGCGAACAAGAGTTAGGCGTTTTATGGCCAACAGTCGCGTGCTCGAAGCGATTGAGAAACGCTATTGAGTAATTGGGCAGAGCAGCATCGTTTCGCAGAGAAGCCCAAGCCCAAGCCCATTCTCTTTGGGCCATGGCCTTGAAGCGCAGGCGCTCTCTTAGCCAACTACTCGTACTATTCGTCGGTTTTGGGTCAGCAACATGTTGGCCCAACTGCCACTCGAAGTGGGTTATTGTGGCCAGCGGAAAGTGTAGGTAAGTGGGTCGAGTTCCGCTCGGCAGGCTGGCCGCAAATTAAACGAGTTGCGGCCCCGTGTTTGGCAACATTTGTTGCCACACTGACCGGCAGTTTCAGCAGCAGCAGCAGCAGCATCATCAGCAGGAAGCGAATGAAATTCCGCATTTTTGCGGCATGGGGCTGTTGAACTCGACCGGCTTTCAATTGGGGAATTTCAGCTAAGGCTTGACCAAGTCAAGGACTCTCTACAATTTGACATGCCATTGGCAGATAAAACAAATGTATTTAACTGTCTGTTGGCTTGGTTTTAAAAAAAGAAATGTTAATATTTAATTTGGGAAATCTTTTACATAGTGTCTGGTTAATTAGCAATAAATTAAATAAATATCTACGATAATGACAAATAAATTTGTTTCTATTCAAATCCTCAAATAGATTACAAAAACTTTTTTTTAAATCACTTTAATGATGTAAGAAAATTAATGTTTTTTATAAAAGATTTTATGGACAGTCTCGCATGTGATTTTATTTTTTAAGTATTTTCCCATTCCAAACTTTCGAATTTTTTTCTCCATGTACATAACTCAACCCATAAACACTTGAGCATGTCAGCAAAAAATTGATAATTGCTTAGCCCAGCGCTTCAAAAGCAATATCAAGCAAATCAATTACATTCCGCAGTGTGTGCGAGCGTGTGAAGAGCTAACCCCATTTAAATTCAGCTGCGTTTTGTGTTGACAAAACTTATCAACAATTCAATTTCAATAAAAACTCGTGAGCTTCACCCGCTTCGC